CAACCTCTTGTAGTGCAGGTTCAATTCAATTCAATTTCAATCTCTCTTTTATGTTCGATTTTGAGTTTCCGCCTGCTGAATTCATTGATTTTTTTGTTCTCTTTCAAGTATTACTGTGGCGATTTGTTTGTGTTTGAATTTCATGAGAAAATAGTCTTTAATTTCATTCATAACGAGTTTTTGAATACTTTCACGTCGATGGTGATGTATTGGAGGAGTGCTAAGCTTAAAGTAGAGCGAGCTTTTGGTTCCTTAGTTTCAATTGAAGGCTGAGAGTCAATAGAAAGTGATGTTTCTTCTCAATTTTCGTTTCTTTTTGAGGTTTCTTATGGTGATTATGAGCTAAGTCAGTTATTTTAGAAAATTAACTCCGAGATTTTGATTTTTTTTATTATTATTATTTTGAGAAGAAGAAGAAGAAGTTATACTTCCAATTGTATTGGTTATCGCACAAGCACTGTCCAATTGATCTTGTGCTATCTAGAATTGTATATTTCTATCACTGAATCTGGTCATATATGTCTGTCACTCCCTCTACCATCTTTAAAATGATTTAAAGAGTTTACAGACTCAACTAATAAAATTTGAAAGTTAAATGTCCCAAGATTGAGGGTGACTTTGTGATTTATGGATTAGTTGTTTGCAGTTCTAATGTTATCTTTTTAATTTTTATCAAAGGCCCTGTGGCTGAAGACATGTTTCATTGGCAAGCAACAATTATGGGTCCTCCAGAGAGTCCTTACGCGGGTGGAGTGTTTCTAGTCACAATTCATTTTCCTCCAGACTATCCTTTTAAACCGCCTAAGGTACTTCATTCTTTGACGTGACTGTTTAGTGATGTATTTTAATGGAATTCTTATTCTTTCCTGCCTCTGCTGTAGGATGAATGAAATATGTGAATTTTGAATTTTCAAATCTTTTGATAGTTCTCACCTGTTTGATTGGCTCGGCAAATTAAAATTTTTAAGTGAGTGAAGCTCCCAAATATGTTCAACCTTGATCTTGATCAAAGTCATTATTTGTTTTGTGGGGAAAGGAGGGTTATACCCTTTGGGCTATATTTAACTGGTTGTATGATTTCTCCTATTTTGCCATTGAAGAACTTTGTCAAACTAAAATTGA